GACAGACGTATTCGTTGCCTTGAAAGGGAACTCTCAAAATTCCCCCCACCCCCGCCCGGGCTTATATGCTGGGAACGTAAAATCCGCGCTGCACGGCTTTTCAATGAGACTGAGATATCATATCCCTAGAATTGCGATTCAGCCAGGTAAAATCCTAGAACATGTGTTCCACTTATATACTGACAAAGGATACGAATGGTGCGTAACTTTCACGACACCATGTGTTATCAGAGTGCCCTGAATTGATTGGCTTGTAGACAAAGAGGGATGTTACCATAGTGCCACGATTTAAAATCTATAGGTCGTGCAAACTTCCTGAGGCAATATTTCGGAAGCATCGGTTGGCATCTCCGGTCTGCAGACGGATCAACTGCTATAAAATCTGTTTCTTCTGATGTAGTAGCATAAGGTTAGTTTATTAGGTAGGCGCTGACCGTAGGGTTAACTTTCCTGACCTGCTCTTCGCCCACTCTCCTAGTCACATATGATGTCCGATTTGCCATCTTTCCGGCCAGACAATGTCAACGGTTAGATCTTGAGGTGACCGCAGCGAGCGTTTGACGCAGGCAACTGCAGATTACTGGCTGTGCTCCTTGCTCATGAGCATTCTTAACACTTCGAGCAGTTGGGTTGAGATCTAAGTTTTTCCATTTCTCGACATATTATTTCTAGTTAGACTAAAGCAGTCGGTGCCGGTAGAATAGAAAGAAAGACGCTTACAAAACAGCGTCACTTTGGGTGCCGATGCTCCCAGGCTTCCAGGTTCACCACCTGCAACTATCTTGTTCCCTTTTGCCAGAATGGCTTTGTTTTGCCTGTTTAACCAAGGACGCCCTACGAGGTTCTTGCGATTCGCGCAATCATAACAGCAGGTCCTTGCATATGGGTTTCCACGCAAATGCGTTCTTCAGATAAATTTAATTGACGTCATCTTGTTTGATGGGAAAAGGTCACATATGCCTGCGGACTTTCGCCGAAGAAATTTTCTTTATTACCTGGGTTAGCAAACATGGCTGGCGAAGAAATGCAGAAACTAGCCAGTATTCTTCTGTTTAGGACACCTACAATCTTTTTATGGGCTGCACACGCAATTAAATTGGACTAATCACAGTTAAGAGTAACACTATGATATCAGATAGGGAGATATTACTGGCAGAAAAAAGAAGAAAATGTCGTTTATCGTGGTGCAAATACCTTCCAAGTCAATAATTGTAGGGAAACGAGCGTCGTTGTTTGTACGTGTAGAAGTATAAACAAGAAGTGGAAAAGATGTTCTTATCTTTCATTTGAATGCTACTTTCAAACGGAGGGAACTGATGGAGGTCGGAGAGATGGCATCACTAAAAAAGGACATCCCTCGGCACACATTCCGGGAGGGCAGTGCTCAGTTTCATCTAGCGCTGGCTATCAGAAGTTTAAACCAGCAGTCGACTTTGTTCGACTTGTCATCACAGGAGCCGAATCTCTTCGAGGATGAGGGCGGGGAGTATCAAGATTCGGAATTATTATGAAATCCTGGTGAACATGAAATTTCGCCCCCAGGAAATGTTTATCAGGCTTCCGGAGAACAGCTCTAGGTGATTGCAAACGATGATCACAGCATACAAGAGGTCAAAACGGGATTGGTCATCTGGGGAATGCCCAAGTGTCCGATTTACAGTAGAATTCCAAACAGTGCTTTTTGACTTTTTAAATTATCACTCATGGGAGCACTATTACCAGACAATTATGGCAGCCTCTAACTGCCTAAGCATAGAAACATGGCACATTGGCGAATACGAATGTATGCAAAGGTTGATAAATAGTTGGATGTCTGTTATGCGTGTGGGCCCGTGAGAGGAAATTTTCCAGTCAACGAGGTGTTTCAACTTCCCTCTAACTGCTCACGACTGAAACGTAGTTGTCCTTCACCAACATGTAGAAATAATGTCGGATTCTCGGTACCAAGTTTAGAGTCTAAATAAGTTCTTATTCGATTTGAACTCGCCCTCTGAAATCCTAGCTCCAAAATAAATGTAGACAAAATGAAGACCTCAGACGCATTCACCTGCAACATGAAACTCTCTAGGAAGTAGTTGGAAGGACTGACGAAAACTGCTTAAACTTACAGGCTGGGCAAATGAGTTGGCCAAGATGTCGGCGTTCTGCGTAGGACAAAGAGCCAATGACTCGCGACCATCAGGCATAAATGGTGCTTCCCTCTGAGACATGTCCTGAAGGTAAACGTCTAACCTTGGAGTTGTTTAGGGTCGCTAGGTTATTTAAGTCCAGACACGATCTGTCTCTCAACATTGCGCACGCAATCGGAGTTCTCTCAGCCACCCGTTGTGGGCCGAACACCAAGTAAACAACTACAGAGTGCTGATTGCGGCCCTTCGTAATAGGCTGCCTTCGCTACCTGGCGTCCGTGACCTTTGCACTGTAGTAGGCTAAACTTCGTCAGGTAAAGACCCCTCCTCGAAAAAGCGATAAACAAACAAAAAGCCGGGACGCACATGGGTGAGCTTCAACACCAGGACAGACAAGTGGATAGACAGACTGCTGTCTGTAAAGTGACAAATTGCGTTCTTCAGTGCAGGAATGGACACCAGGCGAGAAATGACACCATTGAGGCTCGTCCTACCCGCCGCACCCTCTTTCCTCGATTTTACATAATCATAAGAGTCGAACATCATCAAATTCGCGCTATAGGTGACCCACATTCGGAAGTCCAAAGGCCAGTGCTGCATTTCCTAAACCATTAGAACGAACGTAGCTCTACTCTCAGAACTGTTGATAGCTTAAAACTCATACATATGATTGTCCAACTTTCCCTGACCGCATGTCGCATCTACAAAAATCAGGCTTTATTCAGTCGATCCCCAGTGTCAATTGTGATTTTCCGGACAAACATGTTATGTGTAGTTCGTTCTCCCTAATCAGAGAAGGTCAGGTTCGCTAGAGCCAATCTACCTATCAATGGCGCGTATCCATTTTTACCGTGGTCTTCAGAGGCTCTTAGTTCAGACAGAAATAGATTATACTCGGCCTGTGCTAATGTGACAATTCTCATTATTGACAGATTGGGCTTGGTGAATCGTTTCAAGGATGGCGGACGATGCAAGGGTTTTTGAATAGTTTCTCATCAGCTTATACAGTCTGTTGAGTGAGAGAGAGAGAGAGAGAGAGATAGGACAGTCTGTTTGCACAAGTGTTATTAGTGGACAAGAAGCAGTATTCGTGGGGAAGTAGTCTTACTGGATGTCAATCAGATTGAACGGTTGTGGCTGACAACAAGGCGAAAAGAGTGGCGATTGGGAACAGCATGCATGAACGAAGATCTCACAGCTAATGTACTGAACGTTGCTCTCGCTGGATCACAATTTGGAGGCGAATTTATTGGTGGAATGAGCAAATCGAGATAGTCTGCGTGTGACTAGGTCTGGTTCTACGGATGCATAGGCTAGAACTGTGAGCTGTTATATCACCGGCGGGAGAACTTTGCCTGAAGCACAGGGTTGGGCGTGTGGAGATGGATATGGGGGAATTTTAAGGAGGATGATGCTGGACTGAGGCGTGCGTTCACAGCGTGAACGGTTGTCAAATGGATGGTCAGTACAGAGAATATTCCTCAGTACATTCGGCACGTAGTTTGTGGTTTTGTTAATGCCTAAGCTGCCGTCACTGCCACTTAATTGCGAAGGATATCCGTCTGGGCACTTAATGTGTGTTGGCAGTGACGACAGGTGAGAAGAGTTTTAAACGCTATGACTAATGTTGCTCTGTATTCTGCACTTTCTTCTTTCCGATGTATGTATCCGGCTCGGCCGGTGACCCCGTCATTCTTTGTTGCGATTAAACGAGCCAGCTAGCCAGTTTTATTGACCCATGTGACTTGTGATTAACTGGGAAACAGACGTCTAGGACTCTAGAGGTTTCGTCGAAACACTCTTATCAGTTAGAATGGGTTACGCCCTAGTATATGACGCTAACTTGTGTCATAACCGTATGCTTGTCGTTTTAGCTAGTCTTTTATCTGAGCGCATGCAGCCCAGGGGCATAACGAGGAGTGTAAGCTAACATGCCTATGCAGTAGACGTCAAAAATCGTCAACCACTGATTCACATACTCAAACGCGCTGTTACACAGAAAGGACTTCAGACAGGTGTGGACTTACAACTGTGACAAATTTCAAGCATAAATACGACGTACTTCGTGCAAGGAACTAGTCTTATCTGAACTCCTGTCCAGGCCGTCGGTAGACACGTATACCGGGGGTTATTTCTCTAGGAGAGATGCGAGCACTGGCCTCGTTTATTTCACCCTTACTTCCTTCGCCTTGTTGCAGATTGCCAATTTACCACCCTACCTCTCCAATATGGATGACAGCGTTCTGTCAGCCATGTGTCATATCTATCCTTTACCCAGAGGAATTACAAGTGTGTAGCAGTAGACATAAAATCGTAAAGTTTTCTATTTTAACACAACAGTTAAGATCAAATAGTACATATTTCTGCCTGAAGCAAGGGAAAGGGCGGCGATGGTGGGCGGTTGATGCCATCCAGCCGTTCTTAAATGTCTCTCAGTTTACGCTCAGTTCAACACTGGCTCTTGTTTGGGTGTGCAATTGCGAGCTTCGAGTGACAAAGGATAACGTGATGCGAGTTAAGCCGTCCTCAGAGACCTCAATCGCGAACCGGACTTGCAGCTGGAGTGTGTCCTGCCCAGTATTGGCACAAGGTCGTCTACGTGGGTATGTAATCGTGACCTAACGTCTTCAGTCCCCGGATTGCCCTTAAGGCCACTCGCTGCCAACCAAGTCGGATTCTCTCCGCGACAGGAGATGCCTGTCTGAGGAAAATCAAGCATATTGCGATTAAAAAGACTGTTTTGTTTTACCCTGACTGGGAAACTAGACTCTTATCTCTGTTACTGGCAGGTCTGCAGGGTTCTGAAGACCTTAATTCAACCAGCCCGTGTTAATATTATGCATATTCTGGTGGCTGGTTAGGTCCTGTTTGCTACCCAAGCTGTGGCCTCACTGTCACTGATGAGTGTGATTTCGACGCCAAAAAATGGTTCTCACACTTTTCAAAGAAGAAATGGAGGGAGAGGAGAGGGGAGAAGAAGATGAAGAAGAGGAAGAAGAAGAAGAGGAAGAAGAAGAAGAAGAAGAAGAAGAAGAAGAAGAAGAAGAAGGCGGGTGACTGGGACGATGCCGGACGAGCGGGCGCAATCCGTTCAAACAGAACATATCTGCGAATATTTTTAGTGTAAATATTTCGATCACAGCCCATAGTCTGTGCCTCTAGCTCAGGAGCTATAGAATTCAAATCATCGCGAACGAAAAAATGCCCGTAATGTTGGGCCATTCACCACTGTTTTTTCTGATGACCAAACGGAAGAAAGTAGTCGGATTGGAACAGCATCGGTAAGACAGTCACATAAACCGCATTTTTTCCTCCTGCAGACATATGTGCGGATCGATAATTGTGATAGCACATGCCTGGGTGAATGGACCGACGGCAAATGAAGAGTTGCGCTCTTGGCCGAGGAACACAACGATTTCCAGCCCAAACTTGGTGAATTGGAAATGAGGCACAAATTAGATTACGGTGCGAAAGGCTTTCTGGAAGTCAGCCTACCTTTCTCTCCCCTCTTCCACCCAAATTGCACTGTCGTCCAACAGCACAACCAGACCAAGGTGAGAAAAGATGGGTTTTTCTCCAGCGGGCGACAGGACATAAGACCGAAGTTTACGCTTGCCACGACAAGCCTGACTCTACCTAACTGGTCGAAAACGTCTTTACTTAGAGACAGCTACTGCACAGTAACTTTGTTTACTAATTTAAGCGTTCAGGGGAGACAGCTACTGCAGTCTGTGTGGCATTTGGGAACCACAGGGGAGGGTACTTCACCAGCTCGTACAGAATTACCTGGCCGCTGAGTGCGACTGCCAATCCAACCAACCGATTGTCCCTTTCGGAGCACATCACAGACCGCGGCCGCATGGTAGGAGTTGGGTCCAAGTACCCAGTGGTGTACTGAAATCCATGGCTCATTTACATGAGCAGATTAAACGGAGCAGCGTTGCTTATTCCTCCAATCGCTGATGTGCAATTATGGGAGGTCCAGCATTGTCAACCTATGACGCAATGCAGTCGTCAAAATCGATGACGGGCCAGCTAGGACATCCTTCCATCCCTCATCATTTCAAAAGAGGCACCTATTTTGAAACCGCCTGAGGGAGGTCGTAACTGTTCTGTTTGCACAGCCAATGAATGAGTAAAGGTAAAAAATGAGACTCAGAAAAACTGTCCCTAATTATTTCTGAAGTCAAAATAGTCCTTTGGTTCCAGTTCAGAATATCCTGTCTTCCGCCATTCCCGTTTTGCGTTTAAATATGTCAACTGTTTATTTCTGAGTTCTTCGTAAGGCCACGAATGCTGTGTGTGCCCCCAAAACGCGCCACACTCTAGATGCGCTGGACCAACACGGCGGCCATAACGGATTCTGGCAGGCGTTATCGGAACGCGCACCATAACAAATGGTGCGATGACAGACCCAGTGGTCCGCAGACTTCTCGCGCATTGACTTTTGCCGTCCCTCTTCTGCTGTTATTGCTGGTTAAAATCCTGGTCGTTTGCTGTGTGGATCAGAAAATGTGGCGTGGAACGCCAAGACGCTGGCTCCACCGTGCTATCCACCTGCGCCCTTTACCTGCCTCCGGTCTTCTTTACTGTCTTGGCACTGACCCAAGGTGGGGAGGAGGAGGAGGAGGAGGAGGAGGAGGAGGAGGAGCAGGAGGAGGAGGGGGAGGGAGGGGGAGGAGGAGGTTCCTGTTCTTGCTTCAACTTTGCGTGGAGCATCGTCGGCAACGACAATTGAACTGTCGTGTGTGTGAGTGTGTGGTTCGCGCAGGTTAATGGCAAATGTATAAGAAAAGGGAAAGGTCGATTTTCAGATAGTCTTTTTCATGGTTATTCTGTACATTTTCCACTATACAAGTCTGATGCATTTGAAGCCATCGCAGCACGCTGACAGTAGCGGCTAGGAATACTGCTTACTAATTTAGCCCCTATCCAGTACTGATGACCGGTTCGCAGTAGCCCCCTTATACTTTGATCTTTACAGAACTTCAGGCCGTCATCCGAGACGCTCGAATGAGAATGGTACACGCGAATCTCGGAATCAGGTTGTGTGCGACACGTGTACATGGTCTGTTTGCGCATGTCAGTCACAACACATTTTTGTTTGAAAGAGATTAAATCTAAAAAGAAGACGAAGGCACGATCATTAGGGCGGTAGCTTTATTGGTCTCAGCTTTCGAACTCGAACAGGAGTTGATCATGAGAGGGTGTTAGAGTGCAGCAACGTATTAAAATTTATACCGATTCAGACCGATTAAATATAGTCCGACCTAGTCAACGATAAACGTCTCTGCCAGACTGGGTTTGTTGGTTGGTTGGTGAATGGACGTCTTGGTGGAAAGCGGCAAGAAGAGCGGAGGACGCAGAGGTGTCCAAATAGAATTTCCGTAGCTCAGTGTGTTTAAAATGTGAAAACAGTAAAGTTTGTTTTTGTGAATGTTATTAGTATAGAGAAAACAGTAAATGAGATTTATCTAGCAAATAAAGCAACCCTGAAAGACAGCAAAAGATGGAGTTTAGTTGTTAGGTATGGCATGTGAGAATCGAGATTTCTTAGCTCACATGCTGAACGTTCCACCCGCTACGTTGCCGTTGGAACCATATATGTCACGGTATTACGGAATAAGGACGGTCTATGTGTTACTGGATAAGGCTTTGCGGTCGCATAGGCCCCAATATTGCAGGTTTTATAGGTGGTGGCAGACTTGGTTCAAGATGTTGGGCCGACTGCATTAAGGCTTAAACGAGACCGATTCTGGTCAGAAAGTGCACTCGCATGGCGCAGGCGTGCACCCACCCGTCAGCGCTTTGTGTGTGCCTCGTGACATTAGCACACCGTAAAATAACTCTGACAAAACATCATGATTGACTGCCACCCTCCGTCAGATGTCAAGTTTGCACACAAAGAAATATGCAATATTAAATGCGCAAGCCCTGCTGGTATTCAAAGACCGAGTGAATGCGCTTAACACCGTAAATCAAAATGGAAAATCGATCGACCACTGAGTCATACACTTTCCGAAACATAATGCGCACCTTTGTTCCCAGTCCAACCACATGACACAGGTGTAACAATAATAAGATCATTGACCGCGTCAATGTGAGCGCAGCATTTTGTCAAATTTACTGCTATTTACGTTGTATTGTGATGCGACGAACCTTGCTTAGCACTGAATATTAATTTTCTAACATCGACTAGATACAAATCATCACCATTAAATGTAAAAGTCAAGCACACAGAAAACGTACGCATTGCTGCTAAAATTCGGAAGAAGGCACGATATCTTTCAGTAGTTTTAATGTCGCGCAATGATGTAACTTGTCTGGTTTACATCAACCTGCTAACCCTAGGTTTTAAACGTATTGCCGTTTAAAAACTAGTAAATTTACCGGAAGTTTTATAATGATTTGTATCCAGCTTTTCATAAATTCTACTGGCGTAATGCTAAAGTGGAAGTCCTACCAGCTAATCGTAGATACTTTAGAAAAGCGCAAATCTCGCTATCGTACTGTACTTTACCAAAGAGCTGAGAAGCTTGCTGGATGGGTAAAAATATGTACTTAATTTGTGGAAGTGCGTAAAATATTACTGACAAAAAATGACAGATCTCATAGAACAGACATTTATCATAGCATTTTGGGCAATCCTCACTCCGAACAAACGGCCAAGCTTATTTTCTTCTGACAATTAGTACGTTAATTTGTGAGACTTAAAACATTATTTTCCACTGTAGTTTCTAAAAACAGGCAGCTGCAAGGCGTAAGCAAAAGGGCATAATTCAAAATGGGCGACGGCACAACAAGGAACAAGTTAATTTGGTAAGATTTTTTGTATTTCACGGGGTTGACTAGATTGTCGGTATTAACTGTTCTTGTAAGTCCTGTATAAGAAAATATCTAAATACGGTCTGCAAAAAAAAACAAAAATTCCATTGATGAAGCTTCCTGCTGAGGTAACGGTATTTTAGAACTCCAAATTTACATAAATGTCATGCCCCATTTATACTGCTGCAAATACAGCTGAGTAAAGTATACTCGTCATCATTTTCCTGGCTAGGATTCCTCAAAAACAACATGATTAAAGCAGAGTCGTGATCTAGAGGACTACAGTTTACATTTTATTGACTAATCATTACATTTTCTATGGCAAAAATATCATAAAATGCAAGTCTTCATATCTAAATAAATATAGGTAGTTCACGTGCACACTTAAGTATTCAAACCGACACAAAAAGCACTTACAGCGTAAACATTTGAAATATTCGCATATTCCCCCGTCTTAGCAACCCATCCAACGATACCCACGCCAAATGGGAGCAATATTTTCCTTGATTGGGACTGCAAGAAACTATCTTCAAACGTTGACCGTGCCGTGACATCAAAAAGTTTGCTCGATAAACAGCGGTCTCCGGTCGAACTATCAACATCAACCATAAAAAGGGATGAACGATCTGCATTAAGTAGGACACAAACATTCCTCAGAATTTTAAAGCAGAGAGAAGTCAGGTCGGAATCGTTCCAGATATCCAAAACAAGATCCTGCAACAAATCGCTGTCATGGAGATCGGCGATGTTGTTAAAAATTCCCGGAGCTTTATCGGCTGCCCGACAATCAACCGACCTGAAGCTTGAGAAGAACTCAACGAGGGACTTGGAAGGGGAAGTACGATCGGTCGGACCGCTTCCCACCCTTCTTCGGCCTACTTCATAGGCTGATAAAAAGGACTGAGAGCCGTCTTTTGCGAGGGATAGAATGGGTCTAAAAGCCACAGGCTCAAATTCGTGGCTACTTATTTTCCGCATTCGAGATTTCAAACGCGTAGAACGAACAGAGTATGATGTAGGACATGGTGTGTTAGAGCTGAACACACCGTGAGGGATTGGTGAGGTTGGTGGGTCACACTTGTTGCGCCTTGGTACTTGCGTAAATGTTTTATCTAATATATCTTTGGGGACATATTGTGATATATATTCCCTCACTAGATCCAAATGTTCATTGAGCCACATGAAGAGCTCTTCTTTAAAATCTTCTGCGTCCTTGTTGTGACTGCAATTCTCCATGCAGATTGGACAAATGGAAGATCCGTTATTTCGGCATAGATCCTTTCTCTCCATGTCAGCCAATAACGAGCAAAAACATGATTGAATCCTACACGCGGAGAGTATCAGCTATATTGGTTTATTAAAACAATCTCCAAAATGACCGCCCTGTTATGCAGTAACTGACAGTTAAACATTTATAAGGGAGCAGGACTTATCAAAATACCTGAGAGTCTCGAGTGGGCATTTCACTATCAGTCGGACATAAGGTGAAACAGAAAGAGAGACGGTTAGGAGAACAAACACTTTATTGCCAGCCTGCAAACACGAGGGGTTACAAATCATCAGAGGGGCGTCCCAGCATCTTGAAACCGTACATTCTGGAACGTTCCGCTCCATTGCGTGCCAGCCCTTTTGTGCTTTCTAGAGCGTTCCTACCCATGGCATGCTGGTTGCGAATTGGCCACCGCGCGCGGTAATCCCCGCGTAAAAGTCTGGAATGTTCGGCCGGCCAGTGATTAAACCACACGTGATCAAAGCCACCACACGTGCTTGGCGCTGAAGGGCACGCCGGTCGGCAGTTTAACTTCCCGCTTGTATCACGCCACCGACTTTGTCGTCTGTTCAGCGTCTATGGTCGCTTCGACGCTCCATATCACAGTTGCTGCTCTGTGATGCCGTGCACGGATTATAAAACAAAGCACAACGCTAATGACATCGGTTCTTTTCTAGGAATGGACGGTTCAGGGACAGTCAGACTAGGTGCTAGGCAATTCTAAGCGGTTTTGATTGCTCGATGATGAGCCAGAGCATGTTAAATGAGGTAAATATTTGACAATTAAAGGACAGAGAATAAAGGGTGGAAGGAAAACAAATAAAATACGGCGTAATTTGTGTTAGAAGGTGAATAACTTTAAGCCACTAAAATGGTGATGCGAGCGTAAAGTCGTCAGAGAATTTTTAAAAAACAGATGTCTAAATTCAGAAAAATAATGCGTGATGTCTGAAAGGCCCCGTTTACGTCTGGACTGTTTATTTGAAATTTGATCATTGCCTAATTCATACTAACCCAGGTTCTGTTAAAGCGAAATATGGTAGCTTCCTCAGATATGTCGTTCGCTGATTTGCAACATGCAAATCGCCCACCTGCTGAACTTTTCAGCTCGTATGGAGTTCTCACCACTTTTATTTTGTCCTCAAAATTAAGTTTACGTGTATGTTTGCGTAGGCGGCGGACTGATACTGTTTCTTTTACTGAACGACAGATTTTTTGATCCAAATTTCGTTTTCTTTTCTGTTTTTGATTAAATATACTGAACGTGATGGAGCGCGGACAGATCCTATGGGCCACAGCGAACTCACTGATGGCTTCAACTTTAGGGTCGCTGGAGTTAAATGACTTTCATCTAGGAAGCGAATTCTACCGACTTTTACCAAACAGTTCGAGTCGATAGAAGTGGTCTTTTATTTCTCCCATTTGTAGAGCTCGGCCGATCTTTTTTTAGTAGGGATTAAACTCCACTGCAACTATGAGTTTCTTGCCCATTAACAAACTTTCAGCCGCCCAGAGATTCTTCTTATCTGCTACTTTCGTCTAAAGTAGATTCACCATCGGGCGTCAACCAAATCCCCCCCTATCTGCAGCGGCCCCATTTCCATTTAGCGCTACATGGAACTGG